GTGCGTGCGTGTGTATCTCCAATTGTTTACAAATAATGCATTTATAATAATTGATATTGTCCGAATAGTTTCTGATTTTTATTATTGGAATCATACCGTAATATGATTGAAATATAGAGTGGACTTCTTCATTCTTATAAGAATGCAATTGATAATTTTTTTCTTGTCTCTCTCTCTCTCTCTGATTGTTTACAAATAATTTATTTGTAATAACCAGTATTGTCAGAACTGACGCTTCTGGTATTCATTTCATTTTGCAAGTACCGTCAGAACAGATGTTTCTGATTATAATTTTTATCAGTATAGTCCAAACAGACGCTTCTGACATTGACGAAACACTTTTCACCAGCACTAATTATAAGAATATAATAAATTGTGGATAAAATGGTTATGAAAAGAGCGCTTTCTTCCAAGCACGTAACTTCGTGTCACGCTCTGTCTCGATTCTAATTGTTTTATCATACCGCGGCGGATTTACGTGTGTGAGGCACGCTCCCAAAGGCGAGACACGTACATGTGCGCTCAGCGCTCGGCAACATTGGGTTGGGCAAAAAGAATAAAAATATCATCCTACTCTCTCGCACCGAAGCGCCGTGAGTAGAGAATAGAAATATCATCGTACTCTCTCGCGATCGCGACGCGTATGAGAAAAAAATAGAAACATTATCATACTCTTTCGCGCAATATGCGCCGTGCGATGGTCCAGCGTCTTTTGATTATCGTTTATTATTGCTAACTAGTATAGCGAAGAAATTGAATAAAAAGAATAAACAGACATTAACAATGCATGAAGAGAAATGAAAATCGTTATATATAATCGTATATTTTTTTATGTATAAAAATTATAATTATATAATAAATAAGAATGTGTATAAAATTATTTTCTCATTATAAATGTATAATATATGTTTCGAAAATCTTTAAGAAATTCACAGTTTTAATTACTTATAATAAATTCGACAAGACATTTATTGAACGATAAATGTGTAACGGCAGGGCCATTATTATCATTGTATATAGCCGTAAAAAAAAAAATATATATATATATATATATCTAGCTCATTTGTTTGTCCTGCGCTACCTATCTCGCTTGCACGCACACCGCTCGCGCCGTCTCGTTCACGCTATCAATGCTATCTCTCTCACGATGCTCCCACGCGATATCGACCCCCACTGCCGGATCAACGGCGCATAATGGGGAACGCCGGCCCATCGAGACATGAGGACCAGATCCCATCCTGCGATCTGACTCCTGACACCGACCTGACC